CGCATTCTACTTCCATTAGGAATCGCACCGGCATTTGAATGGGCCTAAAAAATGATATGTGTGGCACAGTTGATAAGTGTGTAAAGGTTTCAATCCTCCCAGCCATAGCTATTACCAATTACCCGATCTCGGATGAAATCTAAGACTTGGTTAACCTAGGCAACATTTGATCTGGGATTTCACTCCTGGACCATCATATTCTTACATTGTTCTTTGATGTCGTAAAATTACACAGTCTCACAGGTTTACATAGGTTTTTACAACAGCGGTACTGTCCAAAAAGTTTCTTTGACCATGAAAAGTAGCGCGGCTTCTCCACGCCAACCATGAATACTTCCTCCCTGCGACCGGGTCCTAATTGCAGACTTGGCTTACCTAAATGGCTTCAGAAATCAAGGGCATTAGAAACAGTGGTACTGATTTTTTTCGAGACAGCTACCGCGTGCACTACCACGACGTCTGCAATTACGACATGATCAGCTAAGGAAAACAAAGTTCAATTTGTCCCAACTCCCAGCGTTAACTTTTTACTCTTTTAATTCTATGATCATGGGCTCTCCGAAAACTAGACTAAATAACGCTGGTAGAGACTGAAACGGGCTATCAAATCATAGATTACCTCTCTAAGTGTTTGAAAATTTTCCTCTCCGTCGTCATTTCAGTACGTTCTATAATAGTTTTTTCACATTTCTAATATATTTAAATGCGAATCGGTGCTAAGTGGGTTGGGGGGGGGGGGGGGGAACCACGCGGCGGCGCGGCGCTCTGTTCGTCTGCTCCTCTAAGGCTTAGTCCAAGGGGCAGTTACTATTTCGTCGCCACGTGGCAGTTTCGAACAGAGCGCCGCGCCGCCGCGTGCCCCCCCCCCCACCCACTTAGCACCTGCGAATCTAGTGATTTGTCGGAGAGTTTTAGCTTTGCGTGTAGTTATTCATCATTTATGCGCATGTCATTCGCTGCACTTGCAGACTTCGGAGAGCGTTTGTTTCTTCGAGATCGTGGAGCATGTTTTTGTGAATCGGGCACGTTTATCTGCGATCTTCCTGAAGAAATGCCAGAAGTTTATCCAGGTAATTTTTGAGAGGAATTCTCCTTTTCCAATTCTCTTGATTTTCCTCTTACCATGATTGGTTTATTCGACAAAAGCTGTCGGTCAGTTTGTGCCCACCGTTTCAGTGTACTGACTAAATAAGTAAATAGCAAATAAATACAATGCACAAATTTTTGGAGCTCTTGGTGCCTTTCAAACTGATTTTCAGATCAGATTCTCGAATAATGTAAGGTTTGCCTTTTCATGTTCTTGTTGAGAATGTGAAGGAATAGAGAGTAATCCCTTAATTTTTCCTGGGTTTTATATGGATATTTTTTATTGCTATGACTATTCATCCTTTTATTTATTTCCTCTTTCATCAACCTATCGGTTCAGTTTTTATTTTTGATCCTAGTGCCCTAGAAGAACATCTTATAATTGCGATTGTGAAAACCAAAAGACGACAAGAAAGTCGTTCTGATTGTGAAGTTTAGGGCTCTACCTCTCCGCTGGCTACTCCTTGACTGATGTCGAAATGTTGCGCAGTGAAATTCCTCGCGATGCACTCGAACGGGCAGGATTTCTCTCAGCGAACGCTGCCACCGATATCGCAAGCCGCCTTCAAATCGCTTTCGAGAGAATTCTGCCAAAGGTTCGTTCCTAAACAAGTCCAAAAACACTCCACCTTGTACTTATCACTCTTTGGAGAGCCTATGCAGGAGGCCCAATGCGAGTTTAATGCCACGAAATAATTTGGAGGGTGCTAACTTAGTTGGGGGGGGGGCACGCGGCGGCGCGGCAGTCTGCTCGCCTGGCATGTTCGGAAATCCGTGGGCCAGGGGGAGTGTAGGCAGTCTAGGGGGGGGGTGGGGGCAGTCACTTGACATGCGTGAAAAGCTGGAATGTTCGAGTTTACACTGTCTCGCTCGAGAGAGCCCAGGTGAGCAGACTGCCGCGCCGCCGCGTGCCCCCCCAACTAAGTTAGCACCAATGGAAGTTCCTCGCCACTTGATATGCAGTGCCGATCACCATTTCACCGGTATGGGGAAGGCATCCTACATAGGGCGGCCTAGTACGTACTGTGTTGGCGGACATCAGACGGTGTCATGAGACGATAACACGTCACTCACGAGGCCTTTTTATCCTCCCTTTCGAAAAACTAGAGGAGCGTAGGGTGCAGACCATACTCCACAAGTGACGACGGCCACCAAGTAAATCTGGTAGTTGTGGTCCTCAGTGATGGCGAATTTGATATATGGATAGTTGTATTTAGTGGCAACTGCTAGAATACAACTGCAGCAGGCTAATCATTTCATTGGCAAAAACCTTTACTTTTTGTGGTGCCGTCGTCGCTTGTGGTGTATGGTCTGCACCCGACGATCTTCTCGTTTCTTAGGAAATATCACCCTTACTGGGTGTATTAGTTGTGGAGGCCACGCCGGCCGGCGCGGGTCTGCTTGCTTGGCATGGTTGGAACGGGAGGAAGGGGGAGTGTAGGCAGTGAGGGGTGTGGCCGGCAGGCGGGGGGGGGGGTGGGGGCAGTCTTGACATGCGTGAAAAGCTGGAATGTTCGAGTTTACACTGTCTCGCTCGAGAGAGCCCAGGTGAGCAGACTGCCGCGCCGCCGCGTGCCCCCCCCCCCCCAACTAAGTTAGCACCCAATTTGTTCGAAGTGGAAGGATAAACGCATAGGGAAAAGATGAATTCTCTTTCAAAGTGTGCGCCACGCATTCTAGTCCGAATAAAGATTGCAGCAGCATTCAGAGAGCATTGTGGCTCATACGATGAACTATAGAAGCCAGCCGATCTATAACTTTAGTTACGAAGCCATCAAGAAAACGTGTTATTTTTCTAAACCTTGTGATGACAGAAGCTATCTGTTCTGTAATGCCCTTTACTATTTTATAAAAATTCGTCTGGATGGATGTCTTTTCGAATGTATCTTACCAGATTTGTGCCAAGGCAAACGCCGGCACCTCTCCTTTCGGCACGAGCTTAACGCCTTCCGCTATTTTCCTTTCCACTTGTAATAATAGAGGGTATTACCACAATCATAGATGTGGTTGTAATGATGACATTCCAACACTTGAATGAACCTCAGATCCGTTGGCGCTTGGTGTTCCTCCTCCCTTCCCATCCCCTCTTCCCCTCCTCCCTCCACCGCCCGGCGGCTGCCACTGCAACAGCATGAGGAATGACCGAGAGTGGACTCAGTAGCTATTTACATGACCATTGGGAGCGTTCCACCAACGAAACCTGAATATCGCAAGACTTGCGAGCTCTCCGGTTTTGATAGTAGGAGTTTCTTCCATGGGCTTCCTTATTACCCTTTTGCGAACGGGCAAACGCAAGGACCGACGTACATACAAACGTACATACGAAGCGAGACCCCAAGTTAGCGTTTCATATGGTAGACAGATATCTTACAGAGGAATTCAGAAATAAATTAAGAAACATACTGATTCAAAAAATATTCCATGGAAATGCTACAAGAGCTACCGTACTCGTTGTAGGGTCTTCAATGCCGAATAGTGCTTATGCCAGAGATGAGCGAGCCAGGCTCAGCTTTCATGCGAGTTGAGTGGTTCGGGAAAAATGAAGCGCTCAATCACACAAAGTTACAGTGGCATACCGGATGGGCGGAAAAGGTGAGAGATTGACTCGGTATTTTTCTATGCACTATTTCCATTTCTATTTTATATTTTTTATGACCGATAATGGTTTCCAATGAGTCATCATGGTGAAGCAATTTTGCAGGCGTGTTCACCATACGTCACGATGCTCGCCGGCTATTTCTCGCTGAACGACTCACCTCGATTTCAGCTTGTCTTATCGACTGTTAAACAGCTCAAAGTTGGTTATTTTCCTTGTTTCGTAGAGAGCACCTATCGGTCTTCGCATCACGCACAGTAGCGTGCTGACAGCTCATATTAATACCTCATCTCTCCTGCAAACCTGATTAGGAGGATCTTCAGGTCATATATGAGTGGAGAGCAGGTCCAACGGTCAGTTAAAATTTTCCCAACGAGGGGGTTGCTTTCTGTGATTCCTAGTAGGAGTCGTATTGGAGGAGAGAAGTCGTGTTTTCGGAGAAACACTGAAAGGAATT